TCTGCTTCAGTGAGAGGAATGCCAGAGCCTACGTTCTTTCCACTTTGAGAGAACATTTTAAAATCTGCTACATTTGTAGACCTGGCTTACGTCAAATATGCTGAAAATCCAGATTGATTGTATTAGAAGCTTCCTATAATAAGCAAACAACGTAAAAGCTTCCCAAATGACAAATGCTCCTAAAATCGTCTGTAGAAATAAACAAGAATCTTTGTTCGAAAGAGTTAGCAACTCCCAGGAATACTGGAGAACTGAAACGGGGTGTAATCCTTCTTAAGAAAATGTCCTGCAGCCACGCCTGCAGCTGAAGGACTGTTTTCTTGGGTGACAGTGCTGTGGGTGCTGGTGATGTGGGTGGAAGGTGAAGCCCAGTTTGGAGCTCTCTGCTTAACTCTTGGGAAGTAGAACTTCCTTTCTGTAAACAAACTTTGGAAGACGACTACAGTTGCTGATGCTTTTCAGAAGGGCTTGGGTGCCTGAGTTTTCCTTGGCTGCAGGAGTAGCCTGGCATCTATTTGGAGATGAAGCCAGTTCCTCTGACCATGACTCATGGACCAGTCGTTACAGTGGCCTGCCAAACCAACCCACCTTTCAAAACCCCACTCCAGGGTCCCTGCGTCAGGACCCGCAGATCCACTCTCCCTGCTCAGATAACCCTGCAGTTCCCACCGTTCGTGGCACTCCCAAGCCGTTACGTAAGAAAGATGTGTTGTGCAGGTGCTGGTTCTTATGAAAATGCACACAAATAGTATTTGCATCTGGGTGACAGATGAGATGGCATTTGAAACATAAGCCAGCCATGTTTCTATTTTTAATGCTTAATCGGTAACTGGAGAGAGTCACAGTGCTATTAATGAATGCCGATCTGTTTGTGCAGCAGCCCACATAAGTGCTATCGTCTTTTTCCAGAGTGTCCAAGCTTTTGCATTTGGTTTCGTGGGTTCAGCATCAAGAGGGGAAAACAAAATTTAAGGATAAGTCACCATTATTCATTAAGGACAAGTAATGAGTTACAGAACTCCTTTCAATATTTACTCAGAAATAAGATATCTGAGGTCCTGAGGGTTGGCCGCTCCAGGTCGTGGCTGCTTTGGCCTGTTCTATAACACTGTAAAAAATTCTGACTGTAAAATGAGAACGACTTGTACCCCATCTAAACAAAAAGTAGAAACTGGATTTTACAGTGCATACTTTCCGTTACTTGACCATTAGTTCTCACTGTTAAGAGATATCCGTCGGCTTCTGGCTCAGAACTGCAGATCGGGTGGGTGCAGAGCTGGCTTTTCTTGGTACTTGAGACTTTGCTGGAATTAAGTTAAAAGAAAAAAGGACTAGAGGAGGAGTTGTAAGCAGGAGGGAAAATCACAAATGAGAGATTTCAGCACATCTCTGGAAGGTGGAGAGCTGACAGTAGAGAGCTGCCAGATGACACACGCTGAGAAATTGGAGTCGACATCATGATGTCAGACGCCGGAGAGGAAAAAGCGTCAATGGATTGACAGGTGAGACTCCGGGACTAGGTCAGTGTGTATAAAAGGAGGTGGGAGACCAGGTGCGGTGGCTCAAGCCTGTAATCCCAGCACTTTGGGAGGCTGAGGCGGGTGGATCACGACGTCAAGAGATCGAGACCATCTTGGTCAACGTGGTGAAACCCCGTCTCTACTAAAAATACAAAAAATTAGCTGGGTATAGTGGTGCGTGCCTGTAATCCAAGATACTTAGGAGGCTGAGGCAGGAGAATTGCCTGAACCCAGGAGGCGGAGGTTGCGATCAGCCGAGATGGCGCCATGGCACTCCAGCCTGGGTAACAAGAGCAAAACTCCGTCTCAAAAAATAAAAAAAAAAAGGAGATGGGAGTGAGAAGTGGGCATCAGTCCTAAGGAGTGATTAAGGGTGGGGTGGGGCTTTTAATGGACAGGCTTTGATTAGCTGAGCAGGCAGGAAGCTGGCTGCCCTGAACTGGATCTACTGGAGGTTCAGGTGCCCATCCCTGGCCCACCCACTAGGACGATGTTTGTGTGGAAGGACTGTCCTTTCTCTAGGCTGTGCACACAGCAGTTGAGAAAGATCTGTGGACAGGTCCAGCAACAGGACTGTCCAGTACAGTGTCCACAGCCGCTGGCCTTGGTGAACGTAAGCTTCCTTCTCCTTACAAATCTGCTACACAGGATGAGCTATGAGCTGACTGCCCTGTCATGAAGCCAGTTTTTGAGTGTGAGATTTAGAGGCCACTCAAAACATACTTGGACTCTAGGCTTTGTTGGGGATATTTATCATCCTGAGGACAAAGTGTGAGGGGGAGAGGAAGGGCAGTGCTGGGAAAAGGAATTGAGTCTGTGTAAATTTGGCCATTAACATGTAATATTTATTACAGGGGTTAACCTTTAACTTTTTAACCAGCAATACTGTTGGCTAAAAAGAGTGTGCAACAAATACAAAATGTCCAACATTAAGCTCAAACCCCCACACGGTGGGTAGCAGCTTCTCTAATGCGGAAGTTGCCCCGTGGGGATGGCCACCTCTGCACGCATGCAGCCCGTGGTCCCAGACACCTGGGAAGATGCTTAAGTTCCTTCTTCTCATTAGAGATCTGAGAACCAACCAATTAATCTGCTCAAAGGAATAGAGTGCTCTAGTTAAGGCCCAGGTTAAATATTAAAAGCATCTCTTAGCTCTTTAATTAGTAGCTGTTGAACTTGGTAAGAGGAGTTGAAGTCCCAGCCTGCTCACGGGGATTCCTGATGAATGCCTGTGCACATTTGTGCAAGTCCAGCTGGCTGCACGATGGTCTGCCCTTCACCGAGCAGTCAACCCCCACCCAACAGGGACAGCTGATGCTTCCTGAGAGGCCGTCAGGCCCTGCCCTGACCCTCTACTGACTGTGGCTTGTTGCATGAGCCTCACAGCACCCTTGTAAGGTAGATATTATCTCCCTCTATTTTATGGATGGCAACACTGAGGCTCTGAAGAGTGAGGAGCTGGCCTAAGGTGAAGCTAGTGACAGCCGAAGCTGGGACTTGAGCCACCATCTGGCAGGACCTCATGGTCCTTTCATTATGCTATCTGTACCCAAATAAGTGACAAACCTAGCAGAATAGACCAGCTGAGCTCTGAATATAAGGAACTATTCCTCTTACCCAGGGCTGCCATGTAGGTGGGGTAATTGATACGGTTTGGGTTTGTGTCCCTGCCCAAATCTCATGTTGAATTGTATTCCTCGCCATGTTGGAGGAGGAGCCTGGTGGGAGGTGATTGGACCATGGGGGTGGACATTCCCCCCAGTGTTCTCATGATAGTGAGTGAGTTCTCATGAGATCTGGTTGTTTAAAAGTGTGTCTCCCCACCCACTTCCTCCTGCCTTAGCCATATAGGATGTGCTGCCTTCCGCTTCACCTTCTGCCATGATTGGGAGTTTCCTGGGGCCTCTGCAGCCATGCTTCCTGTACAGGCTGCAGAACCATGAGTAGCTGGGACTACAGGTATGTACCACCATGCCCAGCTAATTTTGTATTTTTAGTAGAGATGGAATTTCACCATGTTGGCCAGGCTGGTCACGAACTCCTGACCTCAGGTGACCCACCTGCGTTGACCTCCCAAAGTGCTGGGATTACAGGTGTGAAGTACTGCGCCTGGCCTCATCTGACCTCTTTCCAGTCCTGAGAGCTGTGTTTTTTTTCACTCATAATTTGGTCACGGCAGGGAGTTGTGGCTCGCACCTATAATTTCAGCACTTTGGGAGGCCGAGGCAGGCAGAGCACTTGAGGCCAGGAGTTGGAGACCAGCCTGGCCAACATGATGAAACCCTGTCTCTACTAAAAATACAAAAGTGGTGGCTTGTGCCTGAATCCCAGCTACTCTGGAGGCTGAGGGATGAGAATCACTTGAATCCAGGAGACAGGTTGCAGTGAGCCAAGATCGCACCACTGCACTCCAGTCTGGGTGACAGAGCGAGACTCTATCTCAAAACAAAATAATAATAACAATAATAATAATTTGGTCACTGTGCCATATGGACCTTACAACTTTGGTAGACATCTCTTCCTTTTATATAAGCATGCTGTGGGTTATGGACTGAAGGTTTGTGTTTCTCAAAGATTCATCGGTTGAAATCTTAATCCCCAGTGTGCTGGCATTAGGAGATGGGGGTCTTTGGGAAGTAATGAGGTCATAAGGGTGGAGCCCTCGTGCCTGTGATTAGTGTCCATATAAGAAGAGCCCTGAGAGCTCACCCCTCTCTTCTCTCTGCATCATGTGAGGATGCAGCAAGAAGAAGGCTGTCTGCAAACCAGGAAGACAGCCCTTGCCAGACACTGGGCCCATTGGCACCTTGATCTTGGACTTCCCAGCCTCCAGAACTGTGAGAAAGAAACATTTCTTGTTTAAGCCATCCAGTCTGTGGTATTCTGTTGGAGCACGCTGAGCTAAGATGGTGAGTTTGAGAGAATGGGAATACTTAGACCTGAAAATGGAATGCTGCCTCCAGAGGTCAGAAATCTATAGCCAGCAAGCCTAATTTGACTTCCAACTGTGGCCGTAAATAAAGTTTTATTGCAACACAGCTACATGCCCATTTGTTCGCATGTCTCTCTGGCTGCTTTTGCATCATTATGGCTGAGAAATAGTCACCATCTGGCCCTTAGAGAAAAAGTTTGCCCATCTCTGGTTTAGTTAATGGTTTTCTGGGTTTCATCCATTAATCCCAGATGATATGGTTTATTCACGAAAGAAAAGGAAGTTAATATTAACCACCTAAGATCTTTAGTAACTTATTTCTGCCTTCATAGCTAACTCGCTGTTCTCACCTGGGGCCTCAGGGGAGATTGTTGAGTCATGAACCCCAAGGTGAAAAGGGGAAATAAATTAACCTCCCTAATGTTTAAATTCCTCCGTTAGGAAGAACGAGAAACTAAATCTGAAAATCATTTTCACTTTTCTGCTTCTAGTTTCTTCACTCCTTACGATAACTGTGTTTCTGTTTTTTTGTTTTGGTTTTGTTTTCCGGCTGTGACTCCAGACAGGATCCTGAGCGGAGCTTCACAGCCTCTTCTCGGTTTTATGGAGACTGACTTTGCACTTTTGTGTTAGCTCCTAAGGCACTGTGTTAACCTTAAAGAGGCACAGGAAAGGAGGCAGATAAAAAAGCACCTCCGCACCTTCGTTCTTTCTCTTCTTCAGTCTCTAATAAAAGGAAAAAATCTGGCCGGGCCGATGGCTCATGCCTGTAATCCCAGCACTTTGGGAAACCGAGGCAGGCAGATCACAAGGTCAAGAGATTGAGACTGTCCTGACCAACATGGTGAAACCCCGTCTCTACTAAAAATACAAAAATTAGCCAGGCGTGGTGGCACTTGCCTGTGGTCCCAACTACTCTGGAGGCTGAGGCGAAAGAATCATTTGAACCCAGGAGGCAGAGGTTGCAGTGAGCCGAGATTGTGCCACTGCACTCCAGCCTGGCAACAGAACAAGACTCCGTCTCAAAAAAAAAGGAAAAATATTTTAGATGTTCAGTTTTCAGCAGCGGCACTAGAAATCAATTAAAAGTCCACTCAAGAATACCTATCCAAATGTTTTCACTACTTCAACTGAAAACAAACTGACACCAAAATGAAATTATCAGAAAAGAAACTCAGTCTGTTTGCACAAGTGTACACCCCACATAGTCCATTTGATTCAACTCTATAAATGTTTGTAGAGCACCTACCATGTGATACATTTGGGGATATAGACATGAATAATCCATAATTCCTGTCCTTGAGACCCTCGGGGGCCAGTGGGAGAGACAGATGTGTTAAATAGTTAAAGTAACAAGACAAACATGTAATAACAGGTTCAAAATGCAAAGGAAGGCCTGGGCACAGGGGCTCACGCCTGGAATCCAGCACTTTGGGAGGCCAAGGCAGGAGGATTGCTTGAGCCCAGGAGTTCAAGACCAGCTTAGTTAACCTAGTAAGACATTATCTCTACAAAATCATAATTTAAAGAAAATAGCCAGGCCTGGTAGTGCAGACCTGTAGTTCCAGCTACTCAGGAGGCTGAGGTGGGAGGATCCCTTGAGCCGAGAGGGTAGAGGCTTCAGTGGACTTTGATCAAATCACTGCACGCCAGCCTGGGCAGCAGCATGAGGCCCTGTCTCAAAAAAAGAAAGAAAGAAGTAGGAATGTCTTCAAGCAGAGGAAAAATGAGAAGGGAAGGTACTGAGGTAAGTCTGCTGAGGTACTAAGGACACAGGACCTTCAAGGAGGTCAGTGTGCCAGGCAAGGGCAGGACAGCAAGAGACGGTGCCATTTCCCGTATGGACTAAGCTTACTGCTACAGTGAGGAAAAGGGCAATCTGATTTCTTTTCTTTCTTTCTTTCTTTTTTGAGATGGAGTCTCAATCTGTTGCCCAGTCTGGAGTGCAGTGGTACAATCTCGGCTCACTGCAACCTCTGCCTCCTGGGTTCAAGTGATTCTTTCACCTCAGCCTCCCAAGTAGCTGGGATTACAGGCGTGCACCACCACACCCGGCTGATTTTGTATTTTTAGCAGAGATAGGGTTTCATCATTTGGTCAGGCTTGTCTCAAACTCCTGACCTCAGGCAATCCACCCACCGTGGCTTCCCAAAGTGCTGGGATTACAGGTGTGAGCCTGGCTTTTTGTTTTTTTAGACGGAGTCTTGCTCTGTCACCCAGGCTAGAGTGCAGTAGTAACCTGCATCTCCTGGGTTCAAGCCATTCTCCCACCTCAGCCTCTGGGTAGCTGGGATTACAGGCACCCGCCATCATGCCAGACTAATTTTTGTAGAGACGAGGTTTTACCATGTTGGCCAGGCTGGTCTCGAACTCCTGATCTCAGGTGATCTGTCTGCCTCTGGCAGTGCTGGGATTACAGGAGTGAGGCCGAGCAATCTGATTTCTAAAAAGCATCCTGCATTTTGAAGAAAGTGAAATGAAATCCAAAAGTGAAGGGAGGCTCCCCCTGCCCACAGGAAGTCTTTGGGCACTTGGGGCATGTGGCCTGTGTGGCACCACAAGGGTGCTGGATGAGTACACAGCAAACACACGGAGTTTTGGCGTCAGCAGTGGAAGGAATCCTGGATAATACATGCTCTGGGAACAGAGTCCTGAAGAAGGTGGTGACTCTTCCAAGGTGACCCAGCAGGTGTTCCAGAGCAATCCTTTGTTGAGGGCTGTGGTGTGCTGGGCACCCTGTAAGGCTCCGAAGTTCCCTGAGCAGCATTACGGGGTAGATTCTGTGGTCCTCCACTTGATGGACAGGGCATGGAGTCTTGGGGAGCCCGAGACACTCACCCATAATCACACAGGTAATCTGTGGGGGAGCCTCGGGGTCTCCCTCAAGGGCCTGTGCTCTCCTGACACCTTCCTTAACCTGAGGCCAGAATCCTGGCTCCCAGCTGTGCCCTCCATCACCAGCAAGCCACTGACACTAATAGGCCAGCAGACAGTTGCACAAATGGCCTCAGTGGCACCTGTAAAGCATGTGTCCCTGTCCTCAAGGGAACTCTCTCACAGACCGGAGCTGAATCAGCATCTTCCATTCCTAAAATGATCACAGACCAGCTTGTAGTTCGTATAACCTGGCGCTCACGTGCCTGCCTCTAGTGGCCAAATGCGTGAGGGGATTATTGGATTTGCATGGCATCCAAACCATGGTTACATCAGGCTCTCCACTGCATCTTGAAGTCCAAATGAGATCTGAACACCAGCTGCCCTAGAGCAAGCTTGGGTTGCCATGGTAACCAAGCCATCCTGCTCTTCTGGACTCCAGCAGTCCAAGTAACACCACTCAGGTCTTAGCTACAAAGCTCAGCTCACAGCGGGCCCCTCTGTCACCTCTAGCTGCATGTTTCAGAACACTGGGTGGGGAGAGGAGAGCTTAAGTAAGGTACTTCCTTGATCTGATTTTCCTCTGATTAACCTGTCAGCTAGTTCATATGCACTGACTGCGCACCAGCTGCATGGGAGGCCCCGTGCTGAATGTGGGGAGAGGGATGCCTTTAGCAAATGGAGATGGAATCGAAAGTCTAGGGAACATCTCGTCGGTAATCCAGTAAACACTTGTGGCCCTGCTAGACTCAGGCATTGTGCTAAGCACTGGGGGGCAATGAACATGACATAGACCAACCTTGCCCTCGAAAAACCTGTACGCTGGCTGGGGAGAAACAGGGTGAACAAGTAACTGCAGTCCATGGGGATGAATCGGACAGAGCACGCACACAAAGTCCTGGGGCAAGCACCTCTGCCTGGGGACATCAGGGCAGACTTCCCAGCAGAGCAAGCTTTTGAACTGCTTCCTTTTTTTTTTTTTTTAGACAGTCTTGCTCTGTTGCCAGGCTGGAGTGCAGTGGCATGACCTCAGCTCATTGCAACTTCTGTGTCCCCGGTTCAAGCGATTCTCCTGCCTCAGCCTCCTAAGTAGCTGGGACTACAGGCACACGCCACCATGCCCAGTTAATTTTTGTATTTGTAGTAGAGATGGGGTTTCACCTTGTTGGCCAGGATGGCTTCCATCTCTTGACCTCATGATCCACCTGCCTTGGCCTCCCAAAGTGCTGGGATTACAGGTGTGAGCCACTGCGCCAGCCTTTTTTTTTTTTTTTTGAGATGGAGTCTTGCTCTGTTGCCCAGGCTGGAGTGCAATGGCATGATCTTGGCACACTGTAACCTCTGCCTTCCAGGTTCAAGCAATTCTCCTGCCTCAGTCTCCTGAGTAGCTGAGATTATAGGCACCAGCACCAGCCATCACACCAGGCTAATTTTTGTATTTTTAGTAGAGACAGGGTTTCACCATGTCAGCCAGGCTGGTCTTGAACTCCTGACCTTGTGATGTGCCCGCCTTGAGCTCCCAAAATGCTGGGATTACAGGTGTGAGCCATCGCATGAACTGCTTCTTAAAAGATAAGTAGAGGTTGCTGGGTGCACTGGCTCATGCCTATTATCCAAGCACTTTGGGAGGTTGAGTGGGCAGATCACTTGAGGTCAGGAGTTTGAGATCAGCCTGGCCAACATGGTGAAACCCTGTTTCTACTAAAAATACAAAAATTAGTCAGGTGTGGTGGTGAGAGCCTGTAATCCCAGCTACTCGGGAGGCTGAGGCAGGAGAATCGCTTGAACCTGGAAAGTGGAGGTTGCAGTGAGCCAAGATCGTGCCACCATTTACCAGGCAGAGATAATGGTGAAGGGCGGTTCGTGTGGAATGGGAAGAGGTGGGGATGTCCAGATCAGAGGAACCTTGACTGCTGGTGAGCAGGTTGGTTTTCATTCTGAGGGCTGCTGCAAGTTTATCGAGTGAGTTTCAGCTGTCCACCCAACATGGAAAATGGAATGGAGAGGACAAAAGGCCAGAGTGCAGCCAGGCGGCAGGAACAGTGGTCCCGGTGAGCTGGGGTGACCTGGGGTCTCTCCTTCCAAACAGCAGCATTCTTCCACCCCAGTAGCAAACTGTGGAGCCAATACTTTGATCCTGAAGGGGCTCAGGGGGCCAAACTCTTTCCTTCACTGTCTGTGCTGTCCGGGGAACAGGCCTCTCAAGAGGGTTGTTTCCTGCCTCCCAGGCTCAGCTCTGGTGATTAGAAGTGGCTGTGGTGACCAGGATTGGCAGTGCCCTCACCTAAGAGCTGCAGTGAGTTGGGAAGCAGGTTATCCACCAAGGCCAGAAGTAGGGACCAGGCTTCAGGCTGCATGGGCCTTGGAGCTGGCTTCCAGGAGGGGGCTGGAGCCCCACCCCTGCCTGGACTCAAGTGAGCTGCCTGAGCTGGCCTCCCAAAGTTCTGGGATTACAGGAGTAAGCCACCTCACCCGGCCTAAAGCTGTGTATTTTTCTTCCTGACAGTAAAAGGAAGTGCTGGCTCTCGTATCTTGTACACCATGAATAACTTTGCTGTGACAGCTTCTTTTTTTATATATTTTATTTTATTATTATTATTATTATTTTTCCACAGAGATGGGGTTTCACCATGTTGGCCAGGATGGTCTCGATCTCCTGACCTCATGATCTGTCCGCCTCGGCCTCCCAAGTGCTGGGATTACAGGCGTGAGCCACCGCACCCAGCCTCTTTTTATTTTATTTTTAAGACAGGGTTTTGCTCCTGTCACCCAGGCTGGAGTGCAATTGCGCCA